ACAAGGAATAAGGAGCCACCCTCATTTCAACCCCTAACCTGGAGGACCAGGAGGCTGAGTTTGTCTGGCCTCTAACCATTGACCAATCTGGTATGAGTGGCTCTGAAGGTGCAAAAGCACCACCCAGTATAGCTCAATGGATCACTGAGGCACACAAACCATCGCACCACGGTAAGGTCCAGCCTCATTGCGATGGGAGCTCAGAGGATACGGATTCCGAAATCGCGATTCTGGGAATGTCACTCGTCCGGAAGATGAGGAGGCATAATCCTGCAATAACGTAGCGATTTAGAATGCGAACAATCAGATGATCAGGAAACGGGGGTCACCGATTCGCTATGGTGTAGTTCGCATCTCAGATACAATGAGAACTGCTTCGTCGCAGTGATTTATCGCCGAAGCCCCACTGTGCGCTCCAGAGATGCATTCCCGTCTAACATGGGTATTGACAAAAAGCTTACTCCAAGTTACAGAAAGGTTCTAATCCCAGTGATCTTAAATTACACAACCTAGCAATTTTGGTAAGCTCCCAGTGAAGAATTCAAGGCCGAACTACAAGGATTCATCGCAAGTATTCACTTTACAATGACATCACCTCACATATTAGGTACAGGAGCTGATAAAAAACTATCAGTACTATAACGCGGATTCACAAATGAGAACAGGTCATTAATAGACACCCCACTAGGGCCAAGCGATCATGTCACCATACCTTAAAACCATGTGGGTTACGCTGTATACCCAAAGGAACACAGTGAACGAACGCGTTACAACATCATGAAGGATCTAATTGCGATGACCGAATGGGAATTTCTGAAAGACGTTTACCCTGACGGCGCCTGGATGCAATTGTTGGACGTTTATGCAGTCTGATCGTAAGTGCTTTAGAAACGAAGCGGATTCGTTTCACAAAGCGATCGTCGTCCACCAGAAGCAAAACCCGGATATCCAAGTCAGTAGAAAATGCAGTTTGGCGCGCATAGAGAACCCGTCCTGGTCCCGAAAGCTGGAGTGACTATGTGGCCGAGAGCAACCACCACAATTCGCTTGGCTGTGAGGAGAAAGTGGCTCGCAACAATACCTAGCTTGTAAACTTCCCAAACAAAAAAGTTATGTAAGCATGTTAAAAGCGTCTGCAAAGTGAAGCACAGTATCCCCCTACTTAACACATCAGCTGGAGTGGCACAGAGCAATGAAGAGGTAGCCAATGCTCCACGGATGCAGTATGCCTCGACCTTTCAAAGAGAAGTTCGCCAATGTCAAATACTCACATCCATCGCTCCAATTACAACCCTTATTCACATCACATTTACCCCCACAAATGTGTTGAGAAAACTGCTCTCACTGCGCCCCAACAGTTACCCTGGAATCGATGACAGTCACCCGACAGCGCTAAAGGTAACAGCAACAACGCTTGCCCATTCACTATGCAAGACATTTGATGAGTGAAAATTCCAGTAAAAATCGATCCCCGAAGGACAAGCCATTTATTCAGTGAAGGTGAATCAAGGAAATAGGCGACATTTGCACCCTGGTTACATACATACTGTTGAACAGTATCCATAAGCAACGACATCCTCGTCGTACCTTAAAACAGGTGAAGTTTTACACTTTGATTCGGTCAAACGAAAAACAGAGAGCTCATTTTAGTATGGCCAAACGTTGACAACCAAACAGCAGAGCCCCGTAATCCACGATCCCATCCTGATGCGAGTGATGGCAACGCCTGTTCGTTTTGTGTCCAGTTGGCTGTTCATTGAGTCACTTTGACAGTTCGATCATTAGGTTGACCACTTCAGTCACCAAAACTATGATCTTTATTAGTATAGACTAACTATATGCAAAAATATGTAGTGGTTTAATACAGCATTTCGAAATTAGCTTAGAACCAATCGAGAACACATAAGTTCAAACAAATGGCTTTCGTGCAGCTTTGTATTGTGGCTTCTTAATGCTTCACCGCTGACGCAAAATACTCTGCCTCTACAATGAATACTTTCCGAATTGTAATAGTTTGGTTTGTCGAATCCCAATAGCGATGACAAAAGAAACCGTTAACCGAGAGAATGGAGGTGTCTAGGCGTAGTGAGGGGGTTAGATAATTTAGACAAAACTAATCACAAGTGGAGTTAGCCACATAGTCATCCGCGCGCGAAGACACACAATCGGCCGTTTCATCCAATGGGGACACGTCATCTGCGTGCACTCATTCGGCTTGGTAGATGGGCTTGCAAGCGTGACCGAACGTAAACAGTATGCACATCGGTAGGTCATAGAACAAGACAAGGTGGACCGGGCTGTGCTGACAGATAAAGGGTATGCAGGCCAGCGATAAGGCTTAAATACGGAAAAGAGTATAAAACACATGAGAAGCTTGATTTCAAAACCAACAGCCTAGTCATGCCGGTTACCGGCGTCTACCTTGGCTCTGCTGCTTAAGTCTTTGGTTGTATAACCTTCTGGCTTCAGCCCTCTCATCAGATGAATGGAATGCGCACTAATGGCGAGTGTCCCAAGGGATAAAATGGCAGAACAATGCCTTTTCGAATGTGCAATCCGGCTTAGCCCAGCGGTGATGAATTCAGTTCAAAGAACGGAGTACGCAGTGGATGACCAAATGTTAGGCTTTCACAGTAGAAGCGCAGAGAGGCACATAGTGAAGTATCAAGTTAGCCAGTTACAGACACAGGTCTGCAGCCACAGTCGGGATCTACGATGAATTTACGCAGTGAAGCTACTCCCTCACCTGTCACATTAATGATATGAGTCACTGGCAGTGCGCGCACATGGTATGTGTAGCGGTATTACTCGCCGGTTGAGAGAGATCACTTAAGGCTAAAGTCCCACAATATTCACTCTGAGTGGAAGGATACCAGATGCAATACGAACGACTTAAGGCATTAGAAACAGTCAATGGCCAACGATATACTGTGGATGAAGAAGTCAACAGTCTGTAAATCCCAAAGGATGGTCGGTTGGCGGTCTACAAAATGAATATAAAAAACAACCGATAGCCTTGAGCATACAGAGCAGAATTTTGTCCGACGGAATTATTCACGCAACCGTTGATTCATCTGGTAAGGGTATCGATTCTAATCCATATAGGAAAGCAAATGAGAGAATTCGTGTTTTGGTATGTCCGTTATGGAAGGTTATATAGGGAGGTGAACGAGAGAAAGTGCAGTGTCTACTAGCCCTTGAAAACGATCAAAGTGGGTGTAGAGACAACAGCTTCTGTACCCCAATAAAACATTTAAATAAACGCCGAGCAAAACTTTAAGAATCAACATAAACACAGATCATGTGGGGAACGAGATCGCCCATACCACACTATCAGGTACTAGGAACAATAGCGCCTTCGGACAAAAGTTGATCCAGATAGCCTCGACTAGTTTTTCACACGATCCGATGTTCACCCGTAGTTCACGAACTGAGACTCAAAGCAACACAAAGGAGGATCTTAAGCGGGGCTGGAGAAAAAGTGGATCGCCGTGAAGGACACTTCCAAGCTGGTTTCCAAATAGGTTGCATCACTTGCCAACGATTCCGTTATCTCCAAGAACAGTTTCAGCCAACAATCGGTAGAACTGACTCCTACCTACATTGACGTCAGCAATAGACTTTTCTATTCGTACTGCCGTTCTATGAAGCCGATCGTCGAAACTTCATCATGCAGCGTTACATCGGACGAAAATAGTTCCCATACTTTCACTTCCGTAGAACCCAATGATTTGATCAGCCACAAACTTAACAAAGACAACAACGCTGCACTTTCTCTAAATTTAATAGCATATGTCTTCTCACAATAATAATTTCACGTAAGCAGCATTCATCCGGATGATTAGATCCACATCACAGATGTCAGTCATCCACAAAGGAGCTATTCTTTAATCCCTCCTCACACTTGTGACGTGATTGAACACAGACAAAAGTCCACCGGCTCACTTACAGAATCAAGTAACACATATATGGGTAGCAACATTCGATTCCGGATTTGCCTATCACTGCAGCCTCCATGGAGATAGCCATAGGACGTCTGCGCCTACAGAGAGACCATGGGCAGGTTGCGCTGCATCACCTACAGCTCCATACACAGACCCCAATATCCAACGTAAATCCGAAGGAATAAGACCGTGGATAGGAGCAATGTTTCAGCAACGGTGCCGGCCCACACTACTTCAACACTCATAGCAGCAGCATTCCTGTCTAAGTGGGGAATCATGCATACCAGATGTACACAAGATGGTAGTAGGGCCGTAACCCGTTCCACGCTGGGTGGAACTACTTTTTGAGTCCAGAAAAGCCACGAGAACCGTGCACTCGTCTCCCCAAGCTAGAACTAACTGTACCCTGGAGCCAATACAATCGAGGTAGCGGTTTTTCGACGGGTAGGCACTCTGTTAACATTCACATTAAGCGTAGCCACATCAGGAATATCAACACACAGAATTTTTGGGAAAATAAACACATAAAAAGGACACGGAATACGCAGTAGAATAACAGAACTAAGGAAATAAAAGAAGGAGGAATAGTTTGTGTTGTCCCCTTAGTATGACGACTTCGGTGCATGTGTTCCTCGAGTTAGCGAGAATAGACTATTTAGTTATTTGTACAAGAAAAGCTGTTGTGTACATGTGGTGTTAATAAATAAATAAATCGCCAGCTGTACGCCGTAACAGCGTTTCGCTGCAACGCGACCACCACTAATCGCGCGTGGGCTGAGTATACCACAAGGACCCCCACCCCTACGCGGATTCGAACCGGTGACCTTATGGTTGCAAACCAGGCACGCAGACCACTCGGCCACCGGCCGACTTGTACTGCTATCGTTCCAGGTCTGCGTCATCTGTAGGCGGATACCATTAAGTTCACAGAAATGTAGTGCATGGGAAAATAACATCCTTCATCTCTAATCAATGGGAATCTACCGGTTTACCTGTCCCTGTGGGTCTACGTACGTTCGAAGAATGACCAGGCATTTGCGCAAAAGAATCAAGAAATATCGACCATGTGGGTTCATGAATCGACAAGATGGAACCAAGTTAAGTGCGATCACAAAACACCTGATCAACGTTGACCATCAAATCCACAAAAGCGCTGCTTTTTAGATTATGTACAACGCCCCATACCAGCAGAATCATCGGCTGAGGGTGCGACTAGTTGCTACCGCGGAAGCGGTATGCATAAGATTAACAGACCCCAATTTATTCATCCAAAAGAAGCACATCCAAGCGCTGCAGTTCCCATGACCAGCATCCAAACGCGAGGAGTCGGGCCTAACCAAGCAATCCCACGTGCCTTCCATCACATGATTGCCAAACGCACATCGATGAACTCGATGCAATTGTTTTGATCAGTTGTTACTCTTGGTACCCACAAGTGATTGTGTCAACTTTTTACCCTGATGACGAACAAATCGAAAATTGTTCGCTCGAAAAGCACCGCTTGCGTTTCTCTTTGAAATTAACAATAAATGGGCATTTTACACGAACGTCGATTTATCTGAATGGGTAAGTGCACTTGCAGGTGCGCCAGAATCCAAAAGAACGGAACATGGGGATTAATCTCAACGAATCTACGGTGCGAGAATGGAAGCCAACGGTAGGAATTCGGAAAGGACGCATCGTGGACCATCATTGTCAGAAGCCCCACATTCATCAGACTGTAAGGAGTGCTGTCGAAGTCATACATAGAACGAAGAAACGGACGTAGAAGGACGAAAGAAGCCGTCATCGCGCGCAAGCAAGAGCGCAACCTAGTGGTCGGCAGGATATCCTAACTAGGGGACGCAAGTTTTGCGCCGGACTTACGCGTTACCAGAAGCTGTGAACTGCTTTTGACCAATGAGAACGCAACTGCATTACCTTAATCACATTTCAGAATCAATCGATTCCGGCTATGCAGTAGTAATCTTGTTTCTTGACACACCAAGCGTTGGACCGAGTACCGCACAAGCGACAAGTACAAAAGTTGGAGAACTTTGGGATCCGGGACCCATTACTAAGTTGGCTATCGTCATACCTGTGATCGTCAGGTAGTCACTTCAGGTGATTATCGCTCTTCCCCACACTCAATTACCAGTGGAGTCTTTCAAAGAAGCGTGCTCGGTCCCTTACTCTTTTTGCTCTACATTAATGACATCACCACATCTGTAAAACATGGTACATCATTTTTATTTGCTGACGATATCAAAATCGTCTATAAGCTTCGGGGTGACAAGCTTCACGGGACATTACTGCACATTCAAGATGATTTACCTTCCCTTGTGTCTTGGTGATGCAAATGGGTGATGAAACTTTCGGCTAAGAAATCAAGCATCATGTCTTACGGCTGCTGCATCCCCGAAGGATCTATCACCTTAAACAATGAACGCATCCCTACACAGTTGTCCACGCGAGATCATGGAATTAAATACTCATTTACTTTCAATTTCTGCGAACAGACCCAATACCAAGTAGCACGTGTCAGACAGTCTATGTTCAATGTATCAAACAAAATACACACAACTCGTGCTAGAGTTGAGCTCTTCAAGCTACTCACTCGTCCCATCCTCAAATACTGCAGCATAACGTACGGCAGTATGAGAAATAGTGACAGAATTGCTGTGGAGCACCTGCGGAGGTCATTTATTAAACATCTGATTGGTAAACACCCTGCTATGAGTTATCGAGAACGTTGCAATGAACTTCATCTTGAACCACTTTGGATTCGACGACTGAAGCACAACTTGTTGCTGCTTTTCAACATGTTACACAAAAAGACCTATTCCAGCCTGCCTACACTCAATTCACAATATTGCTCAACTTAAGCGCTTCGAAACAAAGATTTTACACTGAATATACCGAAGGCTAGAACGAACGTCCGCTCTAATTTCTTTCTGATCAAATATAGCTATCTGTGGAATAAACTACCAATAACTCTCAGGTCATGTGACAATGTGGCAACATTTAGAAGCAGACTCGTCAATTACCTTGATCTAACCAGCCTAAGCTCTATATTCACATGGGAAAAATCCCTCGATGAGTTATTCCAAGAGGGGCATAACAACATATAAACACCAATGTTTTCATAACTAGGCTTTGGCGTCAACCATCCGGCAGAATGTTAATACATGAAATGTATATCCCAATACTCCACCTATGCATGTCACCCATTCAAGAGCATGGATTCTTCTGTACAAACTGATCTGTGCCGCTATAGACACAGTTTCTCTTATCAAGAGAAAGTGAAATGCACAGACGTTTGGTTAGGTGATACAATAGCGCTCTTTCGTGGACGATCTGAATCCGTTAGCATTAGCATCGTCCACCCTGCTGTACACGATGTGACCGCGTAACCACCTTTCACAGAAACAGAAAATGTCACTTGTAGATATGGGAACAACTCACTCACCACTTGAGCTTCGCTGAAATGCGAATGGGGAATAATTCGATGTAAGGTATGCGGGTCGCATGACAGGGCTGCGCAAACTGGGTCGTGCTGATAGACGTGTGGCACGAGGACTGTTCGTGGCAGTTGGTAAATTACGATAACTGCGGAACAAAAGCATACGTGCCGAGTCAGGATACACTTCATCGTGTTCCGGAACAGATAATCCATGCAGCATGGGTGTGGACCACATAGAAACTACCATCTGAAAGAGGCAATGGCAACGGCATTATTCTGTTTCATTACGAAAATGATGAGCAGTTGTTGGCTGATGAGGGTTTATAAAGAGAGTGATAATTGAGGTCAATTGTTAAATACCAAAATTACTTAATGACGAACAGGCAGAACAAGTCAGCAGAAATTGTAACAGCTGTTTAATTTATTTTATGGTTGCCGACATGTAGTCCCATCGCAACTGAGGTACTCGGTTTATTCGAGTGAATACATATCGATCGTTTTGCTTGGCAGGATGAACAGGAGTTGCAAACAGCTTGGGAGTAGTGGTTCACACAACCAACCGTAATTATCACAGCTTTAAACAATAGGACGTGAGTTAAAGGCATACAAAGATTAGTTTAATACAAGGGTTCATATGTGGGAACATCTGCTATTTACATATGGAGCACAGGGGCAAGTAAGTGCATCGGCCTTAAATTCGCACAGATCAAAGTTACGTCCGCGGACAGCAATTAGACTGAAGCAGACAAACAAGAAAGCCGCCACTCAAAAATAGTTTAATACTTAAATTCCTAGTTTATACCCATGTTACGTACACTTCTGATTAAGCGTCGGTCAACGCTGTCCATAGAGGCCGCCGATGGACCATCGAGCTGGCTGACCTAGTTAATGGAAAATGGGACACATTTCGTAGTCACACTCTGTAGCCTTCAGTAGGTTCTGTGTCGATGGAAAACGAAATATGTTGCCGTAGATGTAAAATAAGTTTATATTCTTAGTCCTTTGGTAAGTGTTGGAGTACCCGTCGTGCATTGCGACACGCAAGCACAATTATGATCACTGTTAGTTTTAAGCAAAGTTCCACCACTTCCCCACGCCAACATTTCCGTTACCAAGGATATGAGTGGTTAGATTCCTGTGAACAGCCTTTAGACGCTGAAGCCTAAAGCTACAAGGCTGTGACGCATACGGAGGAGACGCACGGTACTCTTGCAACGTGCACCTAATCGATATATACAGTCAAACCTGTATAAGGTGACCATTCAAGGAACCGACAAAAAATGGTCGCCTTGGGAATGTTTTTGGCTAGTTGCCACAGACAGGCGGTCGGCATAGCAGGTTGGACTGTAGGTGGGAGGAACATGCGTACCGGACGTCCACAGGGCAATAGCTGGGCCATGGCCCATTCAGGGCATAGCCGCCCTTTTAACCTGACAATGTCACAAAGACTATAAACAACCACACTTCCATTTGGTGATTGACAGCCTAGTAGAGTGATTAATGAGGCTGGTACATATCCTGTCAAAATGCCATCGAACGCAGTCAGACCCGATAAATCACTTTAGCATAAACAACAAGCGCAAAAATATCACTCAAGTTAGCATCACAAAGGTGTCTATTTGGTTGTACGGCAGTGCTAAGTTATATACCATAAGAAATATTATAAAAGTCGTTGTACCAAGCACATGTACCATCAAGCACTCACCTAAACACGGTCTTCACTGTTCATAAAGTTAATACCCGCCTTCTTAGTGAAGCGTGCGATCGAAAAAGCACACGTACAACTGTGTAGTGCTTGTAGAGGTGAGTGCTTCTGCCGAACAACACCTGTGCCAATGTCTCTCGCCATGCCTATTTCATTCGTGTTACTCGGCACGTGTGTGTGCGAGCGAGTGGTGGTGGTGACCTGCACAAACTGCACTGGTGTGTGTGTGTGTGCTTCGAACAAGTGAACGACGCGGTAACCGCATCCCATGACCGCGACTCATTATGGATGCAAATCGATTGCGATCGTTAACAGATGACGCAAATCATTTGGAAGTCGTTACAACAAACGGACTCTGAGAATGCCACCATAGCTGCTCCCTCTCTCTCCTTGTTTCTGCTTCAACTCCCCAGTGATTCCGAATATTTGTGCCTTGCGATATGCACACTCAGTCAGTGTAGCCATCTGATTTGGACCTGAAAACACGCATTCAGTGAAGTCGGAGCACATGTAAATCGATCCTGAAATCAACCAAAACACTGCAACACAGAAGTATCAAGTTGGAGATGCAAGATGGCTGTTGACTTTTTACTGTTTGGAGGTACCGCGCTGGCTGACGCTAACAGGATTTTAAGGTTTGCAATGTACTATACAGCATGAATGCACAGTAACTTAGTTGCTAGATCAAGACAAGGTTCAGTCACAGTCGCACTCCAGTAGGCCCGTATCACACTTGGCAGAGAATTTGTTTAAACAGTTCTGAATCGGGAAATCATTGTCAGATAGAAGGCTTTTTATAAAGTCCTTCCACACACCACATCGTAATTGCATTTACTTCCAAAACAAAAGCCCAACATTCCTTGCCTTCACCTGTTGGAACTAGCGCGCAGCGAAATGCGCATGAAGAACGAAAACATGAAAAAAGCGCACAATGGAAGTACCCACAAAGAAAAAGGCTCAGAAGGGAAAATTGTAGTTATCTACGAATTTCCCCGCTTTGCCCGAGTATGGTATGTAAAATATTCATCAAAATAGCTTCTTCCATTGTACACTTAGACGATCGATGAGGGATGTTGATTGTACGCTGAAGTAGCTTGACTGAGAAGAAAAACGAGCACGGCCAAACCCCACGCGCACTGCTACTCCCTCTTCTCTAGCGAGTAAGTTTTATCGGTGTCATTTTATAACGGTTCGCTATTAAATATGTACAATGAAAGAATGTCCCATCAAGTGGAAAAATGCCCATTTACGCACGAGGATATCGGGTAAATCATTGTTAATAAAGCATTCACATTAAAATAGGTTGTGATGACTTTGCATACGTAAATTAAATAATACGTGTACAGGATTTGCTTGTACGAGTACTGCATGCCAATGTGAGTTCATCAAAAAGCCTCTTACATCACCGACTGTAACAAAGGTTAACGCTACAAGAGACTTCAGCTGGGGTTTCATATTTACATCAGCTTCAGATGAAGCCTATAGGCCGATATTGCTGAGGAAACTATGGCACAGGCGAAAATAGCAGCCTTTGATTTCAGTAACCGAAAAAGCAGTTATCGCGACGTTTATGGAATTCACAAAATTTATAAAATGCTTCTAGATGTTAAGTCAGACAGCAAGTTTCATTATTTCAAACATTCTAATTATCGTACTCATTCACTTGCCTCCTTTTAAATGTTATCATGGTTTTTCCGCGGATACACATTCGTTGTTAGACCAGTAAAGCGTATACTTGCTACTCTGTGTTATTACGTCTGTTTTGCTATCTCCGTCCAACGCATCACTAATGTAAATAAGAGTTTCCACAACAAAACTTGATGTAAGGCGAATAACAGTTATCCACCTTGGAGTGCCTGGGTGTCATGGTAACAACGTGTAGCTGTTGGAGGCAAGGGTCAAAACGGGCATCCGGTTAGCGCCACAAATAAGTAGCGTGATCAGTTGTGACAGATTTATCAAAACGCGATCCCTTTTACGTGCACAGTCTTCGGGCGCGCATTTACGTCTGTGCGCTTTCTTCCGGTCGCTGTGTGAACTTAACCACAATACCAATCCGAGGTTCCACGACGTAAATTTGGCCATGCAGTACAGCCGGCAGAGAGACTTTAAGTCGGCCATTGCCTTCTACAATATCCACTGTTGATACGTCCGTTTTCTCGGAATATTTTGACAATGTTGGTTAAACTATTTCCAGTAATTAACACCGTGCTTCGCTGGATTTTTGAAATACCTCAAAAGTTGCATTGTACACGATTTATTAACAAGAAACGTTTGGATAAAGTGGAGATGCGTTATTCTGGCTGGAAAACTGGTCTTTGATTATGTTCTATACACAGAATGTAGACGATTTTTTTGTCTAGAAATGTGTAACCGCTGTTTGCTCATACCTGGCCGTTTATTCTAGTGATATATCTGAACACAGTGTTCCGGTATCCATCCACATTAAATTTACAGTTCTGGTTAATTCATTTTAACCCATCGGCAGTCGATAATGTAACGCCGAAACTGTGTCTATCTGGGTACAGAAAGCTTAGCTGGACATAACTGGGGAAGCGCATTCCATAGCTGGTACACTCAAAGTGCGTAAAATTCAGGTCATATTCCTTCTATATTACTGGAACTCAAAAAAGTAACTTGGTACCAACTCATTAAATAAAGTGGCGAACAAAATATGCGTCAGGAACTGACGTGACGTAAGCTGACGATGTGCTTATGTGAGCATCTCGGTTAGCATACCGACATATGATTTTACAAGTCTAAACCTGGGTTTCCTGCACTATTATTGGGCGTAAATTTGTTCACCCTAATAGATTACTGTCTATGGTTCCCTGCTGTTGTAACCTAAATGCAGGAGCCAGAACCTAAAAATCTGGACTCGACGAGTAGGACATATCGGAGAGCGCAACGTCTACAAGACCACCTTTGTATCACAGTGGGAGGAACTTTCATTGCGCAAATTCTCCAACAGACAACGATGACTAATAGTCACAGCGAGACCGTTAAGCAATGTAAGGATGAGAAAAGTGCCTTTCGATTGAGCGTGGATCAGTAAATACCCAATGAAAAGGAAGGGTACTAACACAGCACGGTGGAGGTTGTACGTAGTACTGACTGCGAGAACTGCTTACCATTGTCTGTGGATTTAACGCCGGTCCCGCCAGGATTGCAAGGACAAATTTGTAGTTTGTAACTAGTAGAGCTTTTCCTGTGATAATGACCTATGAAGTTAAATTGCCGTAGTCGCTTGCAAATCTTTAATACAAATATATTAACCCCAGATTGGACTAAGTTGCCAAAGCTTTCAGAAGTTCTAAGGTTCAGCGCAACGCGTGTAGTGACACCTTACACATATACGTATATTTGTTACATAAGCACTGGTAGGACAGTACACCTAGTCATCTGACATTGTCTATCTGCTGTGTTTACCTGAGCTTCTAAGAGCACTTTCACCAGGACAATCGGTATACCAACTTGGAACTCTGTCCACCAAGGCCTAGCAGTACGAACGCAGCTTAATTCGCAGTTTCCTTTTATTCTTTCGTTATTACTTTGTGAGAGCCTAAAAATAGCCAATGAGAACAGCAGCCTTCACTTCTTTGCGGCAGCCAACAATGATGAAACGATATTTTTGGATCAAACACCTAATAAGTCCCCCGCAAAGTGATGAACCCAACATAAGCTTGGTGTTTCGGATCCAGCTTCATTATCCGGTATCGCATCAATTTTCGCCGTCTTTATTACTTTCAACAATGCGAATATGACCAACCAATAACCCGGGGAAAGTAACACCGTATCTAGCAGTTGCTTACCGATATGTTTGAGACAATATTCCTTTGGGTTCTCTATACGGAGTCGTTTTTTTGAAATTAATCAGATATATAGTGACGCCTTGGGGATACATAAAGCAATTTCTAGACTCCCACCAGAAGTATTGCCCCGGGCACAATATATCTTGAAGATAAGTCTTACATACTAAAAGCTAAGGGAATTGTTAGTTCGCGAGCCTAGCCTTAGTGAATATAGGAAGGTGCAATGACTACTTAATGGGGAACAATTAGGCCATCGCACCAATACGCAACTAAAGCGGACCGTGCAAGCTCCAGTAGGTGATAACTCTCCAGAGAATTCAATATTTAACCAGTTATTTTTGCAACGGCTCCCTATTGAGATACAACAGATATCGTCTAACGCTCGTCATGATACCGAATTGAAAGGCCTAGCCCTTATAACCAATAAAAGGATGGAGACAGAAGCACAAAAGATCTCGTGAATCTGACGATACATTCGTACAAGCCGTGTGCTCGCTACAAGAAGAATCGAACTCTATTGCCAACGCCAGCCAATGGAGTGAATCTCGAGCTAGTTACCGGTGTACTCGGAGTGTTAGTCGCTCACGTAGCATTTGCTGGTATCACCGGAGGCTTGGTAACAAGGCTCAGAAATGCGTAAGGCCGTGTCGGTTGACACCCTCGGGAAACCGACATGCCAGCTCGTAATGGCGACGACGCAAGCTGGCATTTGCGAGCCAAATCGCCTCTTCTATTTGCGGGACGTGAGATCTAGCACGCAACACCTGGTAGACACTGGTGCCAAAGTCAGTGTGGTCCCTCTACGTCCAGAGGACTGCTGTTCGGTATACAGCCTGCAGGCAGTAAACGGACGCTCATCGGTGCCTATGGAGCATGTACTATTACGCTGAACCTTGGTCACGGTAAACCTTTTCCTTGCATCTTCATTGTAGCTACATTGCCGACTGCCATTCTAAGCCTCGGTTGCTTTCGGAATCACGGCATTTTCGTCGACCCCAAACGCTGCCAAATTATCGACGGCCTAAAGTAACTAACACAGGCTGGTTTCAAAATTTTCATTATGTCTATGAATCCCGCCTCGAGCCCTTCCGAATTGTTTGCATCTACTAAATGAGTTCAGCATTATAACCAAGTCAAGATACCAACCAGGCGATTTCTAATGTGAAGTCAGATAACGACAATAGGTAGTCTGATTTTCTATCAACCACGACGTTCAGCGCAAGAAAAACTCCGTAGCGAAGGCCAAGTTCGACCATAAGCTAAAGTTGGGTATACTAGTCCATCCAACAGTACATGGGCCTCTCCTCTCCATATGGTCCCCAAAAACAAATCTGGAGATTGAAGACCGTGCGGGGATTATAGCGGACTGAACGCTATCACCGTCCCAGACAGGTATTCCACTTCACATCGCCAGGATTTCTCCTAATCGCTCTACGGAAAAGACGTGTGCAGTAAGATTTATTTAGTGCAGGCATATCAAGATTCCCGTAAATCATCAAGATGTTCCTAAAACTGCCGTTACTACACCCTTTGGATTATTTGAGCTCTTGCGAATGTCATTTGGTCTTCGCGATGCAGTCCAAGCTTTTCAACGTTTTTTGGGTCAGGTTATTCGCGGACCAGATTTCGTTTTCATCCATATTTACGAAATCTTAATTGCAAGT